ATAGTTATCATTAGCCCTTTAGTTGACTTCGGGGTTCACAAAGGGGAGGAGGAACATCAAAATGAGAAGAATTAGGGAGGGGGAATAGAAGAGTGATTCACAGATATAAAAGAGACAGACAGACAGACACAAAGGCTCAGAAAGGGTAAGATGAGTACTGTGAAAGGGGTCGAATATGACATACATTGGGGTGATGGTAGTTTGAAGTGAGAAGTCAACTGCCGGTTAATATACTTTTTTGCCGTGTGAGTATAGGTTGCCCAGGGTGCACCACGGGGAGGTAAGTCTATTCCACCCCCCCCCTCCCCCCTTGGTAAAACATAAGATAAGCCGTACAAACCACTTGACAACTAACAAACGGAGCATTGAACTCGGATTGGTAGATACGAGAGAGAGCAACAATTTTAAAAGTTTGAGGAGGGAGGGGGAGGGGGTGGGAACATAAATAAAAGTGGCACCACAGGAAATTAACTCTATAAAGAGACACTAAGCTCACGCTAACCTCTGGAGCAGCAAGTTGAAATGAAATAGCAACCAATGACGATACTGACAAATTCCACCAACACCTATGCGCAAATTTTTTGACAAGAAATACTACTAATAATAGCGAGAAAATAAGGAGGACACATATGACAGGGAAAACCTAGCAATCACTTTGGGTGGAGGAGAGTAGGATTGCTAAGCCTCTTCAACACATGCCAATCACTGGATGTATGCCAGTAAATGGAATTAATGGGATGACAATGAGCATCGAGTCCATGACCTCTGACAGCAGTTCGTGGCAAGACTATCGCACCAATAACATGTGTATACGGCCACGAGGACACTGGTTGTTTGAAAGAGACAAAATTTACATCATATAACCCTGAAAAGCATACAGACATATGCAGAGATTAAACAAAGAAAGACGTTAAGTTAGGTAGTGAAAAAAATTTCAACAGCTGTTCAATTTTTTATCGATATTTAATTACAGAACAAAAAGCCCATGTTCGATCAGTAGTAGATTAGCAGCGTTAGGACAAGATTTCACCTTGTGAGAACCCAAATGAGTTCCGATATACCAACATCGTGTGATCTAGAATCATACTGCTATCATCGATATTAGATGAACGTATGATTTCATGCCGAACATAAAAGTTAACAAAGGTAAAGAGAGATTTGAAGGCAATTCGACACAACTTACGTCATCTGTGCCATACTGGAGAGAAGAGAGCCTGGGTCTCGGAAACCGCCTATACTGATCCGTTAGAATCACAAAAACCGAGATGACTATTTTACTGGATGCCTCTTCACCTCCAGTGCCTTCCACACGTCCACTATCTTGGGAAGCTGTCGAAGTCATCTTCTTTTGTGCAGCCGGTGCGTGCTGGTCCAAGCAGGCAGCACACGCCAGGGCAAAGTGTTTCAAGGAGGGAAGACGGAGTTGATCTCCCGCCCGAGGCATTGCCGATTGTTTGTGTTGGGTGGAGGAAATAGGAGGAGAGGACATTTCAGTGGACGCGCGATCATCAGCAGTCGTCGTCATGTCCTGCTCCTCCATTAAATCAGTTTTATCTGAAGTGTGGGCAGGAGTGGCTGTCTGAGATTCGGGAGAATGATGGGTTAAAAATTCTGGAGAGCTTGCATGATCGTCTTCCTCTTCCATATCACAACCCGAATGACGGTGGTACATTCCTAGCTGATGCTTTTGCTGGGAAGTTTGGCGCTCTTCCTCTGCGTAGCTGCTCGACTTCGGAGAGGTGAATGCGCAGAAACCGAACCGAGCGTGAGTAGGAAGAGAGGAGTTGATTCCGAGATCAAAAGCCTAAAGGAGAAAAATTACAGTGTCGCAGTCTTGCATTTCACGAGTTAATGTGACTAAAAATAGATTAGGGTTGGGTGGACTTGATTCTGTCTCGAGTGAACACAACCCTACGGAGCCTTGCTAACGGTATTATTATTATTATTACTTATTAATATGCTGCTCAATAAAAGAACCCCCCCCCCAAACTCCTTAAGATTATGTTTTGCTTTTAATTTGAATTGATGCCAAGCATTAGCCACCGGTATCACAAACGCATTCAAGGATTCCTTATTGGGCTTGTGAACTTGAGTTTTGCGACTGCAGACTAGGCGTGCCCTGACTTCAGGGCAAACTAATGCTCCAGTAATAAAGATACACGTCTTAAAACACTTTTCAGCCGCAATGCAAGCAAGTTATCACATTCATTTGACCAGATGGTCAATTTCAAGTTGGCGAGGAATTTGAAATTTGATGATTTCTAAATTTTGGAAAAAAAACGAAGATTGTTGTGGATTAATCGCTAAGATCTAATCAGATCGAGAAGCTTGACTGCGTTGGCAACAGTTTGAATTTATATTATATTTATTTGTTTAATGCCTCGTGTAAACACACAGCTGGTGGTGATTTGCTAGCTTAAACTGTATTGGTGCAGAATATCATTCAAGACCACCTATGCCTCCTCAGATATTGAAAGAATTATACGTTGAAGTGACGCCTTCATGATTAAAAAAATACTTTTTGTCGTTCATTTTTAGCTTTCTATTGCTTCCCACAATTACATATTTATATTACTGTGAGTAACTAATTGTGATTTAGTATTTCCAAGCAAAAATTCGATAATGAAATGAAGAATGTATAATTTTAAAACCAAATTTATCAAGGGGATGGCGGGAGGGGGGGGGGTAAGTTTGATGTTTCAGTCTCGAAATCCGAGCTCTCCGCAAAAAATAAGTTTAAAATGATAAAAATTTGTGTTCTGGGTGCCTTTTAGTTTAAATAGACATTAACTCGCATGGCAAATGTCATACTGAACACAATTAATAAAAGAGCAAAATCTCTGCGAGATAGGTCAAATTAAACGTCAAAATAAACCTAAACAACACTTTTGAGGTCTAAACTACTCCACTCTGCTAGCCCCTCCCCCCCCCCCCCCCCCCCTCCCAACTTTGAAAATAGAAGGAAACTCCAAAATTGCATTTAATCCACCCAGCACATTCTTAAAACCCTACGAGATATTACTCGAAAAAGATAGACTTACCTCCACGTGGTGCACCCTGAACAACGTATACTCATACGGCAAAAAAGTCTATTACCTGGCAGTTGACTACTGACTTCAAATTACCATGGCCCCACTGTATGTCATTTTCGACTACTTCCACAGTACTCACCTCACCATTGTTCTATTTTTGTGTTTGTCTCTTACATCTTTAAAACACTCTTCTGTCCCCCCCCCCCCAATCGACTCTTTCAATTTGATGTTCCTTCCCCTCTGTGAAGCCTGAAGTCAACTAAAGGGCTGATGATAACCATCAAAACGCCTGCCATTTGATATAATAATAATAAGTTTACATGTGCTCGTATTGATTTAATTAATTAGAAACTAAAAGGCGCCAGTTAATCAATTACCAATCCTCAAATGTGCCTATATAGGAACTTTATGCTCTGTAGACGTGTGAAAAGATTGCGCTTAGAAACATATACGCACAAATAATTAAAGCCAAACTGTCAAACAAATTTGTTGAAGGCAATGGCTGAACATGAATTTGTCTATGCAGGATTTTTTAAACCCTATCACTGTACAAAGGGTGCAATAGAATTTTCCATTCTGCTAATCTATAAATAGAAATTTGGTATTGAACACTTGTTATGGAAAAATTATTTTAATACAAGAAATCATTAAAATCGGATTAAACAACCCAATAAAATCGGAGTAAGTAAATAAAATTCCATTGAGCCAATGCTATAAGAAATATTTACGGCTAAATTAATTTGGTTCAACTAAGGGCAAGCCTTAAAAATCGACAAGAAATTTCGTACACAAAGAGGATAATGATTTGGTTCCTAAAAGTTAAATTGTGCCACAGAGAGGTGTTAAGTGAAATTATACTCTAATATGACATGTCAATCAAAAGCAATTGGTAAATGATTTAATTACACTAAAAGTGTAAACTGACGTCAATTGCTGGGCTGAGACATTTCATGCCATACTCTCACAACTCAAACTCGATCGATCTTAATGCTCTGCAATTATTTCTAATCAGAAAAGGAAAAGATGACATACCTTAAATCCATAGATTTGTCTTGAATCAATAAGGTGTTCGAATATCTGCTCGGATTTAATCCTCGTATCCGACGTCAAGCACATTGGAATGTGAGCCAAAGCACCCCTAGCAAAGACCGGCGGTTGAGAGATAATTTGAAGCAAATCACGTAGAAAGGCAACAATGGGATAGTTGGCAGGCAAGAAGGGATGTCGTGCAACACTGAAACTTCCTCCAGTTCCCCCAAACACGAATCCTGTACTGTTTCCTCCATAGCTAAACGTCGACCTTCTTGAGGTTAATTTAGTTGTTTGGGGTAGAGCCCATGCTAATGTGGGTACCTGCATTCGTTGACCGATGAGATCGGATTGGACTAAAATCACAAATTAAAAAACGCACTACTTATTCTCTTTCAGTACAAATGTATATTAATTTTAAAAGAAGATTAATAGAATAATAGTAGATAACCATAGATCAAGTAAAGAGTTACGTCTAAGGAAGCTATCCACATTGCGCAGGTAGAAGTCATAGAGAAATGAGTGGAGGTGGACACAATCACATAGACGACTAGATTCCTCCCATTTGACAACGCAGGGACTGCGAGGAACAACTGGCGACGAAGTGGAAGAGGAGGATGAGGGATTGGCGATAATTGGATTAACTATTCCAGAGGTGATTTTCACAGCGGCTACAGCTGCTGCGCGACCAAAGAGATCAGCTGCCAGGGGCCCGGTTAAAATGGCCCGGGTGGCGGCGCGTGTCAGACGACACAACTCAATGGCCTTTAAGCGGACGCAAAAAAGACAGTCGCGGATGAAAACCTGTAATAAAGAAATGTCATTAGTGTATATCGTTCAACGGCATGAGTGAGATGGGTAGGAAAAATCAATTAGATCGTAATATATACCTCAATCAGATGAACTCCAGCCATCTTCACAGACCTTTGCAACAATGCGTAGGGTTGCTCCAAATTATTAACATCCGAATCCAGTGTTGAGTAAATAACCGAGAACTGCATTTGAATTGTCATGTAAGTAATAAATTCCTGCAGTAGACAGTCCGTAGCTTCTTGCATCCACGGGGGAATCTCTCGAGAAGCCACAGGCGAAGCAGCTGAGGATATTTTAGAAAGAGTTCTCAGTCGTGTGGATAGTTGTTGTTGCTCTTCTATGCTTGCAAAAGGATTCTCATTTCTTGTGAGAGGTAAGTTGGAGTGCTCTGATTCTTCCTCAGATATATCCTTTCGTTTTAAGCCCACCTCTTCCAATTCTCGCAGCTTCAGAGCATCTAATCTAGAGCATGGACAAAAGAGAATAGGCGAACACACTGTGTGAAGGGTTCGGCTGTATCGTTTCACCGCGGTGTAGAAAGTTGTAGCTGGTGTAGGATGTGTCTTGGGAGAATCGATTGCCTGCATTGAGGAGTTATAACTATCCACATCGAAAACGTCACCAGCCATCCACACTTTCAGAGGCGCAGTAATAAGACGGAGTTCCTCTGCTTGGGTACGATCGTTCCTAATGGCGCGTAGAGCCTGATCAACATGGAGGTGTACAACATCAAGGAATTCGACTGGAGAGTTGGAGGAGGCAAGTGTTCCGAGAACTGGAACTCGGGCACAGTTCTATAAGAAAAAAAAGTTATAAGGAATTAAAAAACATGAACGAAGCATGAGGCAGTTGACTAATTACCTAATAAAATCATTCAACAATAATAATTATAAATAGAATTAAAGTGAAAGCAAGAATCCTAAAGTATTGATGCACCACAAAGAAAAACACTCACAGAAATTAACGAAATATCACAACAATGCAATTCTAGGAGAGCCAGACAGTAATTTACATAAGAAAATATTGGGTTGGCAACTAAGTCATTGCCGCTTTTGTTGACAGATTCACTCTAAACTTTCTTTTGTTTTGTTAACGTGGCCAGAGCATCTAACCTATATTTTTTTCTTACTGTATGGGCTTCTAGGTTAATTAGTAAAAACTTTTTTTTGTTTAGTTCTTTAGTTTTGTTTTTATCCCAATTTAAAAATGAAAGAACAGGACGTGCACTTCCGACACATTTTATTGTATTACTTCCGAAAAGGCAAGAACGCATCGCAAGCACAAAAGAAGTTATGTGCCGTATATGGAGATGAAGCCTGAGGAAGAAAGGCAGTGTCGAAATTGGTTTGAAAGATTTCGTTCCGGTGATTTTTCACTGAAAAATTCACAACGATCTGGCCGCCCAGTCGAAGTGAATGAAACCCATATCAAGGCCATTATCGATTCAAATCGTCACAGCACAACACGAGATATTGTAGAGAAGCTGCTCAATGTGTCGCATACATGCATTGAAAAAAAATTAAAAACCCTTGCTTATGTCAAGAAACTTGATTTATGGATCCCTCACCAGTTAAAGGAAATTCATTTGACGCAACGGATTAGCATCTGTGATTCGCCGCTACTGAAACGCAATGAGAATGAGAATGATCCATTTCTGAAGAACCTAGTTACTGGCGACGAAAAGTGGATAGTTTATAACAATGTTACTCGCAAGAGATCATGGGTGAAGCAAGATCAACCAGCCCAAACAGTATCAAAAGCAGAGATTCACCGAAAAAAGATTATGCTGTCAGTAGTCTGGTGGGATCACAAAGGAATTTTGTATTTTGAACTCATGCCGCAGAACCAAACGATAAATTCAAACGTGTATGTTGAAGAACTCGAAAAACTGAAGGATGCAATTGAAGACAAGCGGCCGGCATTATCAAATCGGCGGAAGGGTGTTGTTTTCCATCATGATAACGCAAGGCCCCACACATCTTTGGTTACTCGGCAGCAAAAATTATTGGAACTGGGTTGGGATGTTTTGTCACACCCACCCCATATATAGCCCTGACCTTGCGCCTTCGGAGGATTACCATTTGTTTCGTTCCATGCAAAACTCTTTAAATGGTAAAATTTTTAACAACGCGGATGATGTCGGATCACACCTAATTCAGTTTTTCAATAGCAAAGACCAGACATTTTACGAACGGGGAATTTTTACTCTGCCAGAACGATGGAAAAAGGTCATCGACAAGAACGGCCAATATCTAATTGAATAAAGTTATATTTTTAAACAAAAATTCCGAATTTGCCTTCTTATTTGAAATCGGCAATGACTTAGTTGCCAGCCTAATATAAAGTTAATTTATTTCTAAAGAAATTAAAATCAGTCCATTAGAAAAAATCTTATCCGGGATTATCAATTTATCTCCCGTGTCCATTGCATCGTTGATTACTGTAAGCAACCCCCCCCCCCTCCCCACCAAATATGAGTACCTGAGGCCACGGTTTCACCTCTCAGTAGATCACTAGAAATACCACAGAGGTGTAGGTTAAGTTAGTCTAGCGACTACACCCCGCCATTTTAGTGGCAAATATCAGCCAGATTAGTGCAAGGGGAATGCCAGGCAGGAAACAAAGCTACCAGAACCACAAAGAGGTGATAGTTGTAATCCGAATTCAGCTAATTACGTCAAATACGAAACAAACGACAGGCATATGCTCCAAATGCAACGAAAAGGGAAAGGGGTTAATTAATTTACAAAATGCGTTTTTAATATTAAAAAAAGAGAGGAGTGAATTATTAAAAAAATAAGCGCAACATCAAGATGATGAATGCATACTTCAGCCAGTAAGAGTATTAGTATGCTCTATATATTGCTCTATTGTATTCTTAATTGCATGAACTAACCTGATAGATTCGAGTGAGATTAAAGTCCCTCAATTCCTTGGAATTAACCCCAACAACCCGAAGACGCTCTTGTTGCGGATGAGACATCCCATGCTGTCCCGAAGGCGCAGTCACTTCACCAATTGGCGTAGCAGGGGAACTCAACATCGCTGAAGAGGCTATTACATTCTGCGTCGTCATAGGAGTGGAATTTGGAGCCTCGCTGGGAGGTTGTTGCTGAAGAGGTGCTGCTCCAGACCCGACCAGACCTTCTAAAAACTTGCGACGAATGTTCATTGAGGATGTGGAAGCAGTCATGGGTACAGTTTGAATTGAAGCTGGCGTAGATGATATTGAAGGAGACAACTCGGCAGGAGCGAGTCTGTTACTGAGTTGATTTGCTTGTCCCAGCAAGTGGAGATGAGATGGCGTTCTGAGGCAATGGAATAGACCTGTCTTTTGTAGAGACACGCAATCCAACAACTGCCAAAATCAAATATATACGATATGTGTACAAGTTAAGTAGACTGAATATTTGTAGAAAATGGCTAATAAAATTACCTGAAAGCGTTGATTATACCACAGGATAAGAGTTTCAATACGATGTAATAGACGATCAGCATCATCTCGGCTCCAGTTGTAAAGATTTACTCGAACTTCTCTTCCTTGAAAGTGTATCACACAGAGGGTCTGTCTAGGGACCTGAAGGCAGACAGTTGGCTGACACTGTTGACTACTTCGATCATCTGTTGATTCTCTAATTGATGCAGCACATGACGACTTCTGTTGATGGAAAAGGAACTTGGGCAAACGAAGCTGCATCTCACAGAACTCAGGAATATCCATTGGTGCATTCGCTATTTGAAAATAAAATACACAGCATTGTTGGTTATTAATAAATCCTAAGGACTTTGAGTTAGTTTCGCACACTTACGAGATACGATGGGATTCAATGTTTGATCACTTGAAGACTCCTCTGAAACCGGGAGAGCTTCGAGGGTTGTTTCATCAGGTACTTGTTGAACCTTGATTTCAAGACTTTGGTGTCTTTGGAGCGGACTTAGAACAGACCATGAAGCGACTAAGAGCAGAGAAGATTTATAAATATAGATGACTGTTGGCAAATAAGATAAGAAATCGATTAAAGCGTTAAACTAGATGTCTAAGGAAAAGAATGATTTTTTGACCACCACAGTGCATATCAAATAAGTCAATGAAATATATTTACCATATTTAACATGAACACGTTGATCTTCATCACTTGCCGAAGTCGCGTTCAAATTCAAACCACTCGAAGGAAACCTATTCAAAGCACGCTGATATCGGCAAGTTGCATAATTTTTCCCAACAATCAGAAATTCCCTCTGTTGACCAAATGAAATATGCTTCTGATTGAAGGATTGAGCCTTGGAGAAATTCAACCATTCACTCTTGCCTGCCACAAAGGCAAAGAAGTTGATGCATTGTTGACAGGGGCAGGTGGTTGAACTTGAGCCTTGTTGTGGTTGAGAATTTGCAGACCTAGTTCTACCATCACCGGGTTTTGTCGAATGAAGTGGACATTTAAGGTGGCTTGAAGGAAGCCCGACTCGTGATTCAACAAGAGAATTTAATTGAGTGACCAACTCCCCAACAAGCAACTCAACACTCTGCAAGGAAGCTAACTGCAATCGGCGCTCAATTACGAGGGGTAATTGTAAAGAGGAAGCGACTTCAAACCACGGTAGAAGAGATTGTGACACGAAAGTAGGCAGCCGAATGAGGTCGTTAGTAAATAGATGAGGTCCAGATTTTGGCACGGAGTTAGGAGCTGGCTCAGACAACCGATTCTGGAGGACAGGAACTTCAATAATACAAGCTGGAAGACTGAGGACCAGATACTCCATTAGAAGGTCGTAGAGAGCATTCTGAATAGCTAAAAAGAGTTTATGATTTAGGAGTTTTAAGTCAACCTCTTCGCGAACCCAGAGCCGTAGCCGCACTAACAAACGATCAGGAGATTCTGGGAAAGCAGACTGTGATAACTCGATATCCTTCAGGAATTCTGTCATTTCTTCAACACTCACAAGTGGATAGAGATCCTCCCCGATCCTTTTACGATGTAACCACTCTTGTAAATCAAGACAGGACGTGATGCAGTAGGGATCATACTTATCTCCTCGCAGAAGATCAACGAGAGCAGTAACGAGACCAAACTTCGCAGTTCCTACATTCCTTCTTCGATGATAGAGCATCACTTCTCCACAACCAAAACGATTCCTCAAAGATGGAAGGACTTCTTTTTCAGGCTTTGCAGCTGTCATACAAGTTAAAAGGTTCTGCTTAAGGTACTGACAGAAGGGCAGCACAAGTGAGCCCTCAGGAATATGTGGAATAATTGAGCTGTTCAGAAGGAATTTTGGAAGAGTGAAATAGAGCTGATGACGCGTAACGTGGGTTCGTCTGATGAAGAGGAAGTCAAAATCATACGAGGCAAAACGGAAGAGAACTGTTCGTGAGAGAGCTTGTTGAAGATATTCTAGAATAATCTTATCCAGCAAGGATTGAAGAAGAGATTTCACAAAGGTACAGAATTGTCGACAAGGTGAAGAAATTCCATGCAGTGTTACTTGGAGTTGAATTCTACTAGCAGTAATGGGAGCGGGAAGACTTTCCTTTCTTTCTGAATGACCACATCGATGTCCAGACGTCTCAAAAGCCGGAAACTCGCGCAAAATAATGTAGAATATCCTCGGTATCAAGCTCTTTTTCAAGGCAAGCCTTAATGAATCTGAGGAGTTTGGATCGACATAGTCAAAAACAAACATATTTTTCCTATTTAACACTGCAAAATTCTCCAAATGGCGACGAAGTTCTGGGAGCACCTGGTTTCCTCTATCACCGGCAATAACGGCTCGTGGAGAGACTTCCAAACAGAAGGAGAACTTGGAAGGACAAGCAAGGGATCCTGGCGGGAAATGGTCAATAGGAATCACAGTAGGATCACCAGATGAGGAGGATTTCTTTCGACTATTATTATCTACAGATTGGCAATCCGTAGTTTCAGAATCGGTTGCAGATGAAGCTGATACTACTAGACTGGGAGAACGCGTCATATGATGTCCAGAGCGTTTACGAGATAATGGGAGAGAAGTCTGAAGATGTCTAGGTGGGTGTCGTGGGAGCTCTTCCGGTTCTGGCAAAAGTGCAGGATGACAGACACGATCCAAGAGGAGTTGATCAAGCAAGAGAGATTGATTAACCAGACGAACTATTGATTCAATATCTCCAAGAGCACGACGAAATACGATGCAATGCGGGCAAGAGTCGACAACAGTTGAAGTGACCCTGTGACTATCCGAGTGGTGAAAAAAAGCCTGAATGGATCCATTTCCAACTCGGAAGATGAGCCAATAGGCAGGTAAGGAGGGGCCTTCCGATTGCCGCAGATTGATAGACGTCTCTAGAGCATCATGAGGAGGGAAATGGGAGGAGAGGAGAAAACGAGCGTCGTCGAATTCGTCCTCAGTGGTGGTTGTTGAGGCAGGTAGGTTCTGTTGGTGCTCCAGAGAGTTAGACGAAAATCGACGAGTTCTAGATGCCACCGATTCGAATTCACCGCTCTCTTCACTAATATCCACCACTAAATTCAAGGAAAGAGAAAAAATGACTCTTGGCTGGCTTATATTACCACTGGCCAACAAAATGTTAAATTGAATGGATGCTTTTGCAATTTCTATGCTTCCAGAAATATTTCCTAATAATACAAACAACGCAATTTCATTTACATGGCATGTAAGATAAGAGTAAGCTCCTCTTATCTATCAGAAAATTGGCAACTAATGGTTCCTCATTTATCAAACTGAAAGCCTCAAAAAACGTGGTAAAGCCAACCAGTTAGGGCGTACAAGTTCGTTAGAAATTTGACATGGACTATGCTTCATTAGGTCTTCAGAAAGTAAGCTAAGACCAAATCAGCCACATTAAATCATCCTCATTTTTAGCAATACGTAAATACTAAGGAAAACCAGAGTGAAGTTGAGCACAAACTCATGGCATAGGTGAATCAATTCAGACGCTAAGGGAATCCCGAATCAAAGGAATGCGAGTGATAGCAAACAATGAAGTGGGAGGTTTTCATTAGTGGAATAGAAAGCACTGTCGAAGGAATCAATGTCTCTGGGCCGTAACGGCCAATAGGGACTTCGAGTGTCCGAATTTCGGTTCCTACAGGTCTTATAAGATGAAAGAGTGGTTGAAACACTCACAATCAATACACCATCATTAACGTTGTAATTAGATCCTTTAAAATTAGTAGCATGGGTTTTCCCGAGCTCAGAACTGAAAGTGTAAAAGCCCCGAATAGCATGGATAAACCTTGAGGCTATGTAAATGAATTCCAGCATGTGCGAAAGGATGATGAATACTACTTCTATAAATTAACGGAAATGATGTTTCCAATTACTTACCCTCTTTTGCTAATTGAGGACTGGTTGACAAAGGGAGTGAATGTGCGGATACTGTATCAGTCTCCTTCACAATTCCATAACGTCGAGTCCTAACTGTCGGAGAAGTAGATACCTCATGTCTCTCGGGTACTTCTGTATGTCCAGTGTCCTTGCTAACAGACGGTGGAGGTGGAATAGGTTCAGCTCTACAAACCACGTAGTAATCTCCTGTATCAACAAGTCCAGCCTGAGCATAGCGGAAAGACATACTCTGAAGACGTTGCAGGAACCGAGGTATTGACTTCTCTGACTGGGAAATAAATTCCAAGTCCACTGTCTCCCAAGCAATGGCACTCATTAGATTTTGCAGAATGTCAGAAACCCCCAAGGAGGCTCCCTTTTCCATGACGGTCGTACAAGACTTTGAAAACCGTGCATGTGAGTGGCTAATATGGAAGGGCGAATGAGCTGATGTTCCAGGATCACTGTTCAAGAGTAGGCATTTTGTTGTCTCCATGTGCTGGAGAACAGCCTCGACAGTCGATACATTAAGGGGTTGAATGAGACGCTGGGAACACACAACTTCATCTTGGAGAAGCCAGCGGAAGACTTGGACAGTTTGTTGAATAGATGTCCACTGTTCATTATCCAAGTAGTGAACAAACTCAGCTGTACAAGTAGTTTTGCAGATACAACATGGAGTATCACTTTCTGACACTTCCAACTGACATTCACACCAGTGAAAGGGCACTAGAGCATCGTATTCTTCATTTACGCTTGGCGACACAGGAATATTTCGTCGAGAAGTTGGAATCTGTGGTGATGGAAGTGTGTGTATTAAATTAAAATTAGCATCGACCACTCCGCTATATATAGATATTTCTTCACTATCAGAGCTGTCTGAATTATGCAAAGATTCATTCTTCTCTTCAAGTCTGTCCAGGTGTACAGGAGGCTGAACTTCTTGATGATCTGGAGATTCAATAAGTGTTTCGGAGTGTGAAGCACCAACTTCTGGTTTCCAGAGGAGCGGGGTAAAAACTACAGAAAGTCGGACATTCTCTCGGCTAATCTGGCCACAGTTAGGAATCACATTTGGTAAACAAATTGGAAGTCTTTCAATTGGCAAAATAATCTCCTCTTCATCACCCCACTTTAACTTTATCATAACTTTCATGAAAAGAGGCCTCTTGCATATAACCTCCAGTTTCTCAATTTGCTCTGGTTCAATAGGACCTAATATATCCGTCCTATCACATGAAATGCCCGAATTTTGACGCTTCTTACCTTCTTCGGTGTCACTTCCAGACCGAGAGGAAGTACAAAACATGACCTGTCGGCCACTACACATTTCAGCAGATTTATGATGATCGATAATTGGGTTTTGGCCCGGTACTTCAAGAGTATTTGTTTTAGCAATGGGAATTGGCCAAGTGTCACAACAGTGAACTGGTGGTAATTTTTGACCATGAAATCCCTTATAAGCCTTTTCGGCGCCTTTGAAGTAATAATATCCCGGAAATTGAGGGATAGGGGAGAAGTACTGACTGAACACGCTACTGAGACGGTTTCTTATCCTTTCTGTATCATGGGGGCGTATTTCGCATACACCAGGGCCCCCTTTCTTATCAGATTTAGAATTGTCAGAAGTTCCACTACTCGTGCAACCTCTGGTATTCCTCATTACTGCAAAGCAGTGTGAACAGGTGGAGAACAAGAAATCTGTAGCATCAATAGATATTGGAGTAAGGGAAGAACAAAATTGCTCTGACAGAAGCACACTTCTAAGGGCAGTCTCAGAGACCGTGAAACCTTGAAGAAGTGTTCCATGAGCACATTCAACAAAAGCTTCATTACAGAGATTCAACAGGCCCAGGGAAGCGTCTCGTAGTCTCGCCCAAAGTAGGATCAACTCTTTAGTTAGCTGGGGATTTCCTTTTGCTGAAGAAAGAAAACTTTGCGGAGGGTTGGCCGTGAGTTCATCACGACGAATTAAACGAGTGTTGTGTTCACCCTCTATTCGTAATTCTGTTTTATGTCTGAAGAAATCAATAACCAGCGTTTCTGGGTAGCTATACGTCCATCTATCATCCAGTGGAAAGGAAAGATAAGTATGAGTGCAGGAGAAAAGGAAGATAGGAAATGAGGCCTCAGGTCGACTAGATCCATTCAAACGCTGCCTAAGGTTATTCATCAGGTGCTGACAGAACCTAGATGTTGCGCATTTTATGTTCGATGGAAGGACAAAGAAAGCTACTGGAGACGAGGTGATTTCAATACTGCTGGCTTCAGCAAGGTTCTCCAAATGTGGTAGACCATGAATATTTCGATTCTCATCCTTGCTACCTGGTTTACTACCCCCATTCCTTGATATTGAATCAAGTAAGCTTGTAATTGTAGCGAAGCAATGCCATTTAACAGCTCCTGATTCGGCCAAAGCACGTCTCAAAATTGGTCTAAGTTCTTCTTGTTCTTGAGAGATTAAGAATTGTGAGAATTGGTCACAGTGTGCATCGGAGAGAGGTATGGCAGTGATATAGGGAGTCCTTCGAGGTAAATTGAAGACCAGACGATTGATAACATTCTCCGAAAAGGGATAACTCACGGTATCTGTGGCATTAGAGACAAGAGAAGCATCTAATAAAAGAGGACACATAAGACACATTCTGGGACTAACAGAAGCCAGAGCAGCAAGATTGAAAGGTATATCAGCAGCAGGACTAGAAGGGGATGAGCTACTGGTTGGTGGTGTAGCAAACTGAACAGCCGCCGGTGTTGGAGAAGCTAGACGCTGCAGTTCTATCATCTTGAGTAGACAAGCTGTTAGCATCTTTTCAAGGGTGGTATAAGCAGCCAAACAGAAGCAATCTAATTGCATAATCCGTTGAACAACCCCATCATAAGGCAGGTTAGCCATATAGAGGGCTTCAGTGGGGAGATCTGTAGCACGACCGTGTTTAGGTTCAATCCAAACCTCTGTAGCAATATGTATCTCTGAGCTTATTTGGGCAGAAGTGAGAGCTTTCAGTCGGTCAATAAGCATTCTGGGAATACAGTCAGACAACTTTAAATCCAACACCTTCTGGACAGCATCGCAGGCTATTTTAATGGTTTCATCATCATCCTCTCTCGAAAGATTTTTCCAATTAGACTTATGTCTAAAAGGATAGAGCTGATACTGGATTAAACAAGGCTGCTTAACAGCACCTTCTGCAGCCGAATCCACAGTGAACATAACTTCTCTAGCAAGACTCACAAAACCAGGTTGAGGGCCGCTTCGAACAAAATGGAATCCCTCTTGAATGCGGAGATTCTTCAGCGTTGAAAACATTTTGGCTACGCAATAAGGAGACTTTGAAACAAGAGGAATAACCCAGATGCAGGAAGAATGGCAAAGATGCTGTCTAAGTAAAGACGGGGCTACTTCACATCTAGCTTCAACAACTGTTCCCTTCATGAAGGATTTTGAAACCTGAAAGTCGGATGCGGGGGAAAGAGATGTGTTAAGATAATTCTGCGGACGGGTAGTCGCCCAAGTACCCGTTTCCACAATGAGCCTATCAAGCTGTGATTCAAAAACCAGACAGCAAGGTGTTTCACCCCACGAACGTTGAAGTGGTGGCACGTGTATGCTTTCAGTTGGTGGAAGAAGAGGCGCAGGTGTGCCCGATTTGTGTCGAGATTTAGGGACCGCTTGTCGTCCACGAGGAAGGAAACTCAGAAACTTGAATTGTCGGGAGAGTTGATCAATCGTAGCACGACGATACTCGTATTGAACTCCTGCAGTGAATGCCACCCTAACTCGTACTTCCGGCAGTTTCATTTCCAGCCGAACGAGAGTAAAGTACTGGGGAATATACTGGGAGGTAGAATGATGTAAGCCCAAGTCAGTGTCAGTAGGTTTAGATGGAGTACTAATGCGGTCGGCTTTAGGATACTCCAATCGAATATAAGTATGATTCTCAAGGAGAACAAAAGTAGACCATTCATTCAGCATACTGTGGATTCTAGCAAGTGACTGACGGCATGTAAGGGTTTCCGTCACTCTTCTAGTTTGTAGAGGGATGAATAAGTTCGTAGGAAGGGGAGAATCATGTTCAAGAACCACGTAGATTGTCTCTGAATGCATCCAACGATAACAGTTCGCAATGTCGAGAGAAAGAAGCTGACCCCAGTAGTGCACAAATGTAGAGAGTGATTTGTCCCGTTCCATTTCCTCGGCCGTATTCCCCGAGAGATAAATCTCTGATCCTCCACTAGCATTTTGTGCTGTGATGAATACTGAGCAGAGACCATTCAAATAGCGTACTGGCACCGTGTAGATATCAGCATTGAGATTAAACGATGAGACAGTTTCAAGATAATTATCGACATGTCTAAGCAATCGAAAGTGGAAATCAAATCTCTCCAAAATTGATGCTAGGTAAGGACTAGAGACTTGATCACGACGTTGTTCGCTGAATACACGGAGAAGGGAATAGTTCGCACGAACACGAAGATTAGTGACGCAGTAGTGACCAAAACTTGGTTTCTGAAATTTGAATTTAGGAAGGTAATCAGATGATGAGGAAATGGGTAACTGTCCAGTTGGGAGATACCATTCTCCAGCCAAAAAGAGCCGAAAAATGACGCCTGGTTTCCATGCCAGCGCTAATTCGATCTGAATATAAGAGGAATTAAATAGATTCTGATTAGTCGTATCGGGTAGATGTTTGGAAACTCCTCGTAACCGGTATCCATCTTTCAATCGAGAGGCAAGTACGTGATTCAATGCAGCATTCACAACTCGACAATAAGGTTGGATTTCATGAATTGGCAGCCAACCAAGCTCGCCTTCCTTTTCTGGTGTGCTTGTTATATCATCCTGAAGTCGCAGAGCTAACAGCAGTTCATGAATTTGATTCCATTGAGCAGAACTTTGATTCGGCAACATTTTCCATTCTGGTGAATGTTCAGTAAGACAAAATCCGGCGGTAGCGTGAGCGATGAATTGACACAAATCGATATGCGGAATGCAGGGGCTAGAGGATATCAATCTAAGGAGATTTCTTAATGATCCATTTGGGGAGAAACTCAAATCAGTTTTTTCACAGTAAGCAGAGGGGATGATAAATGAACAGCGAATCGAAGACGCGCGTAGATGCGCCAAGGAACGATCTAACTCAGCCATATCAAGGGTTGTGAAACAGGCGTCCGATACGATAATAAGTGAGGCAGGGGCCCAATCAGGCATTTGCATGGCCAGATTTAGAACTCCGTGCCGAAGAAGATCGACAAGAGCTGAATCTCCAGAACTACTTTCCTGAGAATTGATAAGGTTTTCAGTTTCCAATTGAAAGAGTCTTTGGGCTACTGTAGTGGTTATTGTTTTTATCTCGTTATAAGATCCCTCCCAATCATGAATTAGAGTAAATGAATGTCTGTTTGGAACCACTCCAATAATACTGATAAAAATCGAGAAAGGCGTGAGGTGGGAGGCAGAGGATGGAAGCGGGAGACTTGAAGTAGGCGGTATCAACTTGTAGAGTGTGGTTTCTATAGCAGAAACAGCGTGGTGAAGTACAGAAAGACCAGAGGGAGTGGGTTGGAGCATAGAATCACTAAGATCAAGAACAAAAGTAATACGATAGGAGTGGGCGAGATATTTGACTGTGGTGGTTGGTTGAATTCTGTAGACAAGGGGAAAATTGAGGGTATCTTTAGGAGGAACAGGAGAAGCGGCAATGATCGATAAACTGGACCAGTCAGCAGATGAGGAGTGGATAGGCAAATCAGGGAACTCAGCTGCGGCATCAGCAGAAGGGAAAATGAAGTTCCGATTAACATTGCCAATGAACCACTCAACTCGAGTATTGTGCGATACTTTATGGCTTTGTGTTGTAAGAATATAGACTGTATCGGCAAGGATTGCTGATTCAGTATCTACTTCGGAAACCATTTTATATATAATCTGAAAAACAGTGTGTCAAAGGTGAAAAGAAAATAAAATGTTTATAATTGCATATTTTGTGTTTATGAATATTTTTAAAGACTGCCTATCCATTATATTTTGTTAATAAAAATTCTATTGTAAAATATTTTTGACATGGACATGAGGATCTGAATTTCATTGAGCTAAATAAGTAACCAATTTCGTATGAAATAGTTTCAAAAGTGAACCCTTACAATTAGGCACCATAGCAAGACACACTAGTGTACAATACGGCTACATATGAGTACTAAAAGATCTCAAGGCTGTTTAAAAATAAATTTGTCAAATTATTCCATTACTTTAAAAAGTGGTCAAAAATATGATAAATTAAATTTTCATCTATTATACGCAATTACTTAAGTTCGAAACATGTTTTTTGACTAATTAATTAATTTACAAATATAACTTATAAAACATCTGACATCATTTGAAAATAAAATTACACAATGTTAAATTAACCCAAGGATATTTGACGTTAAGAGTGAAGGGAGCGCAAAATGCATCATAAAATTTATTTAAACATTATATCGCTTGCAAACTTTTAATATACCGTTGTAAGTTGCGCTGTGTTTGTAATATTAGTTCGCTAGTTTGTTAAGATGTCTTCGTCTGCGGAGTGGGCTATTCCGCCTGAAAATGTTAAAAAATATGAAAATCTATTCGAAACTATGGTACGTATTGGCGACAAAGTATCTGGAGAAGTTATGAGCAAGGTATGTGGAATCAATTGGCTTTAATAATTTTATTTATCTTGCTTCTTTCTTTGTTCACTTTCTAAAAATTAATACGCAATTTTAATTTCAATATATCCTGCTTTTATTCATTTGACTTTAGTTCCTTCGAGATACGAAACTCCCTGTCGAAACACTTAGAGCTATCTGGGATCTTTCTGATCTTGATCAGGACGGTTATCTTGATAGATATGAGTTTATTCTGGTGATTCTCTTTTTATCTGTCGTTTTCTTCTATAATCCTGATTATTTATTATTTAGTTCCCTTTTTAGACAATGCACCTTGTTTGCGTGTGCCTAGAAGGTCGACCTTTACCGGTTGTACTTCCGTTAAATCTCGTGCCTCCAAACAAACGGGGTGGAGTTTTGGAACCCCTTGCTATCATGCCTCCTCCTTTATCTATCGAAATTTCTTCTTCGAATTTTCGTTCATCTTCTGGTCTTGTACCTGGTGGATTTTCTCCCGCATCTTCAATTCTGGTTGGTTTCATTTGATTTATTCACACTCACTCTTATTTATTGTTAAAATAATTGTTGGTTGTCGAGGTAGTTATTTCTTTATTTGACTTCATTCTCTTCTTTTGTGTCTGTAGTTACATAATTTTGCATTTGTGAATTTTTTGCCTACCATTTACTATCTGCAGTCTTTCATTTCCGCATTTATTGCGCCATTAGAAAGCCCTTGTAAATTTTTTACTTGGTCTTCTGAGATGTCGGTACTTGGAATAGATCAGACGTGCCTTTTGTTTACATCAATGGTTGATGCTTATGATTTCACGAGCTATCAACTGGTTGTTTGGATAGCGTTCGTTATTGATGCAAGATCATGTAGTCACTTGCAATAGGTATTCTCCCTTGGGGTTCTTGCAGATGATACAAATGGCTAGTTGAATTGGCTATCTTATTTTTACCCCTTCAGTGTTCTATTTAATCCTTTCTTTGTGGCTTTTCCTCTTTTTTTGTTCGCCAGTAAGCACTGGTATCCCTTTCGCTAAATTACTTCCCGAACCCGAGATGTTTTATCTTGGAGATATCCCTTTTGCATGATTAGTATTATTACATACGGAAAACTAGCCATTTTCAATTCCATAGACCAAGAGTTTAGCTGAGAAATATACTCTATCGAAACATCGCAAGGAATCAGAATTGGTATATAGGAATTTGAATTTAATAAAGAATGAGATAGATTTCCACACTGTGTAAACTGAATCAAGTTATGATAAATAGGACAGCTTACTGTGGGCTGTTTGCTTTGTGTGCTTTATTTGTCTGGTGAGCGATGATTAAGTAACTTTGGCAAATCGAGCAATGCCAATAGGAAGGCCACTATGTGCGTTCAGTACAATGTTACCTTTGCTTATCCAAATCGAAGTCAGCGAAGGACAGTTTGTACCTCCATTTTATTATTACTTACTCGTCTGCTTCCATAACTCCCAAAGCTGAGTGACGTAGGCAGTCGACCAGATTGAATTATCTCTTTCGGGCACTTTATTTTACTTGTGTTCGTTCTTATTTAAGCTGTTTTCTAGGGGCGCTTATTGATTGATCGCGTAGTATTTTGTTTTGTTAAATTCTTATTATCCTTACCTACTAATTTTTTTTCTATCATTAGAATCAGGTAATTTTGTCGTTGAATTTAATAACTTCAGAATGTGCTTATTTATAGATTGGCACACAAGAATGAATTTAGACGTCTAGGTATCTATAACCACGTATACAGAGAGCAATGAATGATTAATATAAACACAGGAATATATATATATATATATATATATATATATATATATATGGTGTTAGTTATTCATTAGGTAAAAGCTATCAAGGATTATTAGGAACGTTAAGTTTACCGTTTTATTTTTTTATCTCTTTCACTTTAGAAGTTTTCCATTTCTTGACTGTTGTTTATTCTGTCAGATGATAAATCACGCTCCCTCTGTTATAAATGCACCACACGAATCTACTTTTAGTTCTCTACTTAGTTGACGCGTAATATCGTTAATTTTCTACCCCACTCTCTATTTACCAATTTCTATTGTCTGATCTTAAGTCATGAAATAGTGTCAGCCAATAGAACGAGAACTCGTTGCTGCTTGTTTATGACGCCTTGCTCTATTAGTTTATAGTTTTAATCAAAATTTTTAAATCATATATCTTTGCACTTTGGGGATTTCTTTTACTCGTTATTGGCCTTATTGGTAATATTTTGGAAAATAAAAAGTTTAAATTTTTTCATGTGGTTCCTTTGGATTTGGACGCTATCCTTGAAAATGTCACAAGTTAGGGAATTTAACACCGTAATTGAAGACGCCTTCCTGAAGAGTAATAATTTAATTATGTCTTATTCACATTGAACTACAATTCTTGATGTTAAGTTGACCCTTTTCTCAACCGTTTTTTCCCAGACTTGTCTCTCCTGGGTTTGCTGCGGTGGCAAAATTTTACTTTGTTCGGTCAAATAGGTCGCCCTTAAAGCATGCAGTTTGACCTTAAGTTTTATAGCAGGCCAGGAGGTGAAGTAATTAATATTTCCCATTCTGAAATGGTCTTTCTTCAAGTGCAGTGATAATTATTCCTTTTACTTACCTCTACTGACAATTTTCCTTCGTCTACTTGGTTAGTGATTCCCCCCCCCCCCCTCCGTTATTGCGATTTCAACTTTCCACGAGCCCTTACATTTTTTCTGCCCTCCTCCTCCCGCTGCTGCGAAGTCGTGACTTCTACTGGTGTTCATGGGCACGTTTTTTCCGAAACCTCTTTTCTATATGCAAATAAATGTATACGTGTGAGCTCTATTTAAACAGCTGAGACCGCTTCATTAGGACTTTACTTTCAGAATCCATGGGATGACTTTCGACAGTAAATGGTGTAATGGTATAATTGTCGTCCTCTCTCGCAAGGCCTTTTAAAATCTAATTTGCGCTTTTCTACTGCCGTTGTGTAGAGGCTTTGCACGAGGTATACTTTGCAATTTCCCCATTTTTAATTATTACTTTTCCCGCTTTATCCTCCTATCCACACTAACTCATTTGACTATTTGTTTATTGGAATTAATGTTTTTAAATTTGTATGTCGCAAAATTTCGATTTTGATTTTCCTCTCCCCATAATTATGTGAGAAACCGTTCTTGTTTTATCTTTGTTTTTATTTAATTAACACATTGAATTGCATCAAGGTCGGTGTGGTAAAATGATGAACAGCTTGTGGTGTGTATGAATGTCTTTTTACCAAAGCTATTGATTTTTTTTAATTTGGAATTACATCGGTCTCCTTAGACTTTCATTCTTTTTTTATTTGGAGTTATTACACTAAAAGAGCTTTTATTATGCCTTTTGTTAACCTGTGTTTCATGCCACGGAGTGTTGTTGCTTTGAGTTGTCTGAAAATCACGAGGAAGGTTGTCTGAGTAAAGCTAATTTTAAACTGACCTAGGAAATTTTTTTCCTTTTAAGAGTGCCTCTGCAGGCCCACCACCTCCAATGCCTGAGTGGTCAATACCCAAAGCCGAGCAGACCCAGTACTCAGCTGTTTTTTTGCGAATGGACCAAGATGAGGATGGTCTAATCACAGGTAGTGATGTTCACGATTTCTTTCTCCACTCGAATCTCCCCCAAAACGTCCTTGCTCGAATCTGGGATCTTGTGGATCTTCAACACACTGGCACTCTGAATCAGTAAGATAATCATCTTATCCATCATTAAGCATTAGTTTTGAAACCTTTATTTTCTGCTAAAGTTACTTTGATGCTTATGCACTTTTCGTCTAAGCTTCTCGTCTTGGGTAAAATCCCTTTTATCGAATGGAAATCGCATTAAGATTGCGCTTTCGAAAGGTCTTATTTCTATCTTTTTGAATGGTGAAGCCTTCCTGGCGCAAATCTCCAACCATTACTTCCCTCTGCTCCGAATTTAGCCAATGCATTTGGCTACCCCTTTTACTCTTTGTTTTTAAAGTACACGCAGGATGATGCCGTAATGCCCACATTTTTTGCTATTTTCAGGGAGCAGTTTATCGTTGCAGTGCATTTGGCCAATGAACAGATCGCCTCAAAATGCACTCGAGAGTTACCGGTTGCCTTACCAGCGGCACTCATTCCTCCTAGTCTCAGACCTGTCGCGCTAGAACCCAAGGATTACGAGGAGTCCAATAAACTTCTGGTGGAAATCGAGAAAATTCGAAAGTATTTACTTTTTTCCTCATATTTTCACCGTTTGCTTTGATCCATTTTCGAAATTCTATTGTTGCTTTCTTTGTATCAAGCGTAGGCTTTGGATCGAGAATTGCATTTGCTTTCAATATTATCCTTAATGAGGAAGGGGCGGGTGGTGTTTTCAGAATAGTAATCTCTGAAACATCTGTGGTCTTGAGATGCCTGAGAACACTTCAGTTTACCTGAGCTTTGTCTCGAAGACGATTTGGAAACATTTTCATAAGATATCCCTTATTAATTGCGAAGATGGGGGGAGGGGGGGGGGTGTTTTCGAATTGCACCAATCAAGTCAAATTCATTCACCCAGAATCGATTAAATTTGTAAGATTGATTATTCCTGATATCAAATGCCTTCTCAACACATTATATATGTATACATATAATCTGCAGCGCAAGCTTGGGACCTTAATTAATCAAACGGTTGAATGTATTTCAATCCATCATGCGAAAGTGTTTTTGTAGTATTCATCTTGGGTAAAAGTGTGGTGTCATGGAGCTTCCCTGGCTGAAAACGTATTTAGATTATCTTAACTTGACAATTTAACATTCCAATCAGTGGATGCGGATCGCTGATTCCCCCACTTCGGACTTATGTGTTCTAATTAAACTCCCTGCCCTCGCCAAACTTTTTCCTCTATAAATTTATCTTTAGAGAGCGTCAATCTCTAGAAGGCTCCGCATCCTCCTCGCTGGGTATCGACGTTCATGGTGAAGAGATTGCGCGCATGTCCGCGGCACTTGAAACCCTCGGTGCAACCGTTCGAAGCTTGACTACACAACAAGCGGCCGCCGAGCGCTATGTCGCCGATTTGCGCAATGAACGTCGTGCTGCACTCCGCAATCAACTCTCTGAAGCCACCGATACGGTTAAAGCTAAAAAGGCTACTGTTGATGCCTTGAGGGGTCAACTCACTTCGCAACAGATCTCAATTCGTGTACGCACAAGTTGGTGTTTACTTGCTTCAAGTCCTAAGGCAGTCTTAGGTAGTAGGAGGTAATGGGAAGCATCTTAACAGCATCTAGTCAATGTTGGTAAAGCCATGACTAGGGAAATTTGGTATGTTTGGGGATGGGGGTGGGGGTGGGAGCCGAATCGCCAATATTGCAGGAGTTAACCGCATTCATCTGTGAAGTCGGAGGACGTGAAATTGATGCCCACCTGTGCACATGACTCAGTGACCGGATTAAGCCTGGCTGGTAAATGGGATAAGGCAGGAATTGAGTTTCTCCAAAATATACGCTTGAAAATGCCTTTCCGAGTGCGCGTAACAATAACCATAGTGTTACCCAAATTCAAGTCGTGCGATGTGGAGGGGTTGGGAATACGCCACACAGATCCTCTTACATGTGCTTTTTCTTGTCTTAGTCTCAAGAGGAAGAGGTTATTCAACTTCGGAATGCCATTACGGACCGCAAACGCGAGGAGACTTCGTTGCTTCAGCAGGTTGCTGAGCGCAGAAACCGTGCTGAGGCGGTGGAAACGGAAAACAGGGCTATTTCCGCTCGAAATGAATCTGTAAGCTTGGTTACTTAATTTCGATTCACTGAAAGTCTTTTTTTCACCGTGTAGTGAAACACGTGGGGTACTTAGTGAATATCACACATCCTCTGCATAGTTGCAATGCTCCTGCTGTTAGCCTGGTTTGTTGTGCAAATCACACGGTGTTATGTGCAAGACCATGAGAAAATTCTCTGCTTTTAGTGTGTGTGGGGTTACACTGTTTCGCCCCAAAAGTCCCTATTTTCATAATTATGGGCTCTAATCGACTGTTTCTTTGGTGCTCGTGCGCATCTTAAAGAAAATTGGAGGAGATATTCGAGGCCAGCATGTGCTTTTTACATATAATCGAGCTCGTTCGTGATCATAGCTGCTCTTGTCTAAACTGCGATAATAGGGGATTCTGATTTCCTTGTCTGTATCATATTTTATGTCCCAATTTACTTCATCCTCGGTAAAATGACACGCATCTGGACTCTGAAGTCGTCAGCTTGTCTGCCTTGTTCTTCCATCATTTTTTGTTTTACTCCTTATCATTGTTGTGTTGTATTTCCCAATGACTATATCTGCAAAGAGTTGATGATAGACAAAATATTAGCCGATTTTTGTGCACAATTTATTTATTTCTGGTGTTCTAGTAAGATTGAGATTGATTTCTTACTTTTTTTCGTCTAGTGATTTGATGCTCATCTGCTGTACAGTTTCAGCATCATCCACCGAGCTGTGTTCTGAACGATCTTTAATTTTTATCCTATATCATTCCAATGACAGCAGTAGACGGACCGAATGTTTCAGGCCGTTTTAATGG